CACTTTGGTTCATTGAAATTAGACCACAGGACACCGCGGCCCGGTTTCAGCCGGTTGAGGAGAGAGAAAACTTCATTTTGGACATCCGGTGTCCTTGAACCACACATGGGTCCGCCCCCAATCTGGTCTGGTTGGACCCATAAGAACCCGACCGTTAACTGTCTCACTCTCCTTCCCCGCCTCCACGATAAAGGCAGCGGCGGCGGCGGCGGCGGCGGGCTGGCATCGTCGACACGAAAAAGCAAGCAGAGGCCGGTTGAAGATGGCGACAGGCTCGGGCGCTTCATCCTCGACAGGTTCGCGTGGAGCGAGAGAGGCTCAGCCGCTGTGCCCTTTCGCAGGACGACGACGGTTGTGGAGCAGACGTCCAGAACCCAAAACAACCTAGACAAGCAGTTCTACACTTGCAGGAATCGTGACTGGGTGAGTTATTTGCATTTCTTGCTGGTTTATTTTGGCATTTTCAAATCGGATCTAGGGTTCATCCCAATGTTGTGTTCTTCGGCGTGATCAGGGCAACGCGCAGTGCGGTTTCTTCATGTGGAAGCCAGTGAGCGTAGGAGATGGCGTGGATGCTATAGCATTGATGGCCGGCTTGAAGGCTTTGGAGAATTCTGTGTTAGAACCTGAACGCGTCCCGACATCCAGTATCTAGATTCCCTACTACCACATATTCCAAAAAAATGGCTTAATAAAATGAGTCACATGTGTTGTTTAATCTCATACTCTCTCCGTCCACAAAAGAATGCAATTCTCGATTTTCGAGAAGTCAAACAGTTTCAACTTCGACTAAATTTGTATAAAAGATACTAACATTCATGATCTAAAATAAGTACCATTAGATTTATCGTGGAATCTATTTTCATAAAAAAGATTGTTTGGAGACATAAATTCTAATAGTATTTACTGTAAAGTTGGTCAAACATAAGCTACCTTGACTGGCACGGTTTCTATAGTTGCATTCTTTTATGGACGGAGGGAGTACCGAGTACCTTTTTTAAAAACTATTCTCTCCGCTATATATGTAGACATTTGCACATGACTTTTGTTATATATCTAGACATGGCGTAGTATCCAGGTGCATAAAGAAGCTACGTATCTAGAAAATCCAAATGACTTAATTATAATTTGAAACAGACGAAGTACCTAGTATTTTCTTCGTTCCAAAAAATAATATTCTAATTTAAATGAAGTCATTTTTTTGAGTAAATCAAGTCATTTTTTTTATGTTGACTGAATTTATAGAAATAATATCAACACTTATATTGCTAGATATATTTCCTACCGCCGCCACCGTGCTTGCTTTTTCGTGTCGACCATGCTATAGCCATCGCCACCACGTGCCGTCATACCCTTCCTACCATGTCCTTGCCACGCCTTTATCGTGGAGACGGGGAAGGAGAGTGAGACAGTTAATGGCCGGGTAACGGACGAGTTCTTATGGGTCCAACCAGACCAGGTTGGGGCGGACCCAAGTATGGTTCAGGGGCACCGGATGTCCAAAATAAAGTTTTCTCTCTCCTCAACCGGTTGAAACCGGGCCACAGTGTCATGTGGCCTAATTTTAACGAACCAGAGTGTCTTCTGGTAAAATGCTCCAAAGTGGGTATCCGCCAGAAAAGGACCATCACTTTGATGTCCAATAGAGAATTTTCCCTTGTATTTAGTTTACAAAAGCAAAAGGACGTGGTTTGTGTGCATATCTATATATCGACAATACTTTTTAATTTCCTCTAATGCAACTTAGCATGAGTCACAGGTGTTGTTTAATCTCATACTCCCTCCGTCCACAAAAGAATGCAATTCTCGATTTTTTAAGAAGTCAAACAATTTCAACTTTGACTAAATTTGTATAAAAGATACTAACGTTCATGATATAAAATAACTACCATTAGATTCATCATGTAATCTATTTTCATAAAAAAAAGTTTGGAGACATAAATCCTAATAGTATATTTACTGTAAAGTTGGTCAAACATAAGCTACTTTGACTGGCACGATTTCTATAGTTGTATTCTTTTATGAACGGAGGGAGTACCGGTACCTTTTTTAAAAACTATTCTCTCCGCTATATCTAGACATTTGCATATGACATTTGCTATATATCTAGATATGGCGTAGTATCAGGTGCATAAAGAAGCTACGTATCTAGAAAGTCAAAATGACTTAATTATAATTTAAAACAGACGAAGTACCTAGTATTTTCTTCGTTCCAAAAAATAATATTCTAATTTAAATGAAGTCGTTTTTTGAGTAAATCAAGTCATTTTTTTATGTTGACTGAATTTATAGAAATAATATCAACACTTATATCTCTAGATATATTTCCTATAAAGATTATGTTAATTAAACGATACTCCGTATGTATTTGTTATCATAAATATTTGTATTTCTTCATACAGATGAGGTTAAATCTAAAACGATTTGCATTTTTAAAACGACAATTATATTTTTTTTTGTTTGCTGCCAGCTTGGAGTATCTAATATTCGATTTCGACTGCAAGCAAGGGCGGCGCACCCAACCACATAGACATAGGACAAAATCAAAGCAATTCACCGTTCCCGTTCGTCCGTTCCGTGGGCGGGCACGAGACACGATGCGCGGCGCTAGCTAACGGCAAGTCGGAGCCAATGCCACGTGGGCCTCCTCCGCTAGGCACGTGGGCGGGGACCGGGACGGCGGCGGCCGATGGGCCCACCCTCCCTGCTTCTCGGCTCTGGGCGAGAATGTCAACGGGGCCTTTTGAGTTTTGATCACGGCCGTCGGCGGTGGATGGACGTGATCGACCTCTTTTGTCTTTTCACCTGTGCAGCCGGCAGCGGGTGGGGTTAGTGGACTGACTTCCGTCGGGCTTCGAGCCGTTGATATCCGACAGACTACAGTACTCCTACTACTTTGTCTTTTTTTTCAACGCTTGAGGGTGTCTCTAACCTGAGATCCACCAGGAGACCCAAATTTAAAATAGAGTTTCAACAGAATACCTATAACCTCTAATAGAATATCTATATAGAAGATCCAGTTTGGGTGTCAGGAGAGGTATAACCCAAATCTGAGTATCATCTCTTCCGAAGACCCATTAATAGAAAGAGTTCCCTTTTGGTTTTTGTTGTTAGAGAAGACAAAAAATTGGTATTAAACTCTTTACTTGTAGCACTACCCAAACGTGGAATATGTCTTGTATTTTGGATAACGGTTGTTGAGGACAGTTTAGCCCTGGACATTAGTACTAGTAAGGACAGTCTCAGAGCAAGTACAATAATGGGTTTATAGCCAAGCTAGTTAGCATTTTTGCTGACGTGGAGGAGAGAAAAGATGAGAGAGATAGGAGAACTTGGCTGTTACTCTAGTACCGAGCTGGGCACGGAAGCATAGACACCTGCGGGCACAAACAATAGTGTATGCGAGGAGGAGTAGGAAAGAAAAAATAGACATGGTATCACATAATAATAATAAACTTTTTAATAAACAAATAGGAGACAACTATTGTATGACTTGGCTCTTATAACTTGACTTATTGTCAAGCACTTGGCTTTATTATTGACCTTGCTCTCAGTGAAAGTTTCATCTAAGTTTCATTCGCATTTAATAAGGTGTCATGTAGGCATTTTTTATGACGTGTTACCAACTCATAGTGAGTCATAGAATTAAATGTCTATGAAACTCTAAATTGAAACTATGTATTTGAGAGTGGTTGTTTCTTTCAAGTTTCATTTTATATTTATTTGATGTGGCATTCTTGGAAACAACGCTACGAAACTTACCATTGAGACTGGCCTGACTACCCAGTTCATCTCTTGCGACACTTTTCTTTGCAAGGGAATGGAAATAAATCGTTTTTTAAAATTACTTTAAGATATTTTTCAAATTTAAATTTGTACTAGAAAAGAACACCAAAGTTTATGAGATATGTTCACTCAGGTGTCATAAATATTTTTACGGACAGAGAAGAAGAATTAAGAAAAAAAAGAAATAGGAAGAGAAAAAGATAAGGAAAAATGGCAAAATATTCAGTGCAAATCACATCTTCGGTGCAATCCATGAAAACCACATTAAAACCATACTTGGTGTGCATAGTTTCAATTTTTTTGAAAACTCCTAAGTATGGTTTTGCAAAGGGTTTTCACGATTGCATCGAAGATATGATTTGCACTGAATATTTTGCCAAGAAAAACAACGAGCACACGCTTCGGCTTCTTTCAACTGTGATTGCACCAGCAAAGTTTGAGTACTGTTTTATAAGCCTATCTTCCTATGCAACCACAGCCAGCCTACAATCGGAAGTAGCCCAAAGCTCCAAACGAACAGGTTGATGGATCCCCCGCCAAGGCAGTGAATCAAAAGTATTGGCTCAAACTGAGTTTTCTGAAGCGATGAGCATTATCATAGTCGAATTCGAACAGGATCAATTTTAGCATTTGCAAATTGCAAATGACCTTGAAATCCAACCTTCGACTCCATGCAAAAAAGATCAATTCTTCTTTGGGGATGCTCAGCGTGTTCGGCTCGGCTCGGCTCGGCTCGGCTCAGCTTGTTTCAGCTTATTCTCTCTCACAGAACACTATTAAATCAGCCAAAAATAACCGGAACAGACTAGTACACAGTAAATTTCTGTACCGTCTCTGTTATCTCAGTGACACGCTCCACGGCAGTTTTTTTTCCCCCTTCTGAGGGATGTGCAACATTTGAGGCCCAGTAGCAAAGGCCCGAATTCCGCGAGGCATCAGCAGGCCGTCGGGGGAAAAAATTCAACCACCAATCGTGGCCCGTTGGCGTGATCCACCAACCCACCCGTCCACTCCAAAGTGCTCGTCGCAAAAGCAGTGGCAGTGGCACGCGATTCCTTCTCGTCTGCTTCTGCCTGTGCCTGCTCCCCCCACACGTCATTCCCCATCCGTCCGCCGCGGCTCCACCACCTCCAGTCCTCCACTGCCCCGCGCCCCGCTCCCGCTCCCGCTCCCGCTCCCGGACGGATCTCGAGGCTCGAGCCTCCCGGGGAGTGATGGCCGACGCGTACTGGAGGTACGCGGCCGCCGACCCGCGCCAGCAGCAGCAGCAGCCGCCGCCGCCCTCCGCCGGCGGGGGCGTCGCGCACCCGGGCATGGGCGGCGGCGCACCGCAGATGGCCCCCGCCCTGGGGCAGCAGCAGCAGCCCATGAAGCGACCCCGCCCCGCCGACTTCTCAGGTTCGCCTGCCTCTTCCCTTCCCTCGCCCTCGATCTGATGATCCGCGCGCTGCTGGCCTGCTTCCCCTCTCGATCTGCCCGCTCCCGCCGGGCGCTTAGGGTTTTAGCGGTTCGCAAGCGGCGCTGCGCCGCGCCTCACGGCAATGCGCCGGTTCCGTTTAATTGTTTGTTCCCGCCCGCCCTGTACTGCCTGATGCGGTCTCGTTGTTTTCGCTCGACCTGCCTCTGTCAACGATGCGTCGAGGTGATGCCGTCTGTGTTGACTCTCTGCCGGAAGTAGGGGCTAGGGAAACGTCAGGCTTCTGTCTTGAATTAAGTGCCACGGAGCTGCGGGACCGGATCCAAAATGGTTACTTGCAGGATCTGTCACGATCGCTTCAGTACCACTGATGGGTCGCCTGGGGTTTTGTCAGATTTAGAGTGCACCTAAACCCCACTCGTAGATCTAGGACGCACCTAAAACCCACTCGTAGATTCAGGATGCACCTAAAACCCACTCGTAGATTCACGTATGCAGTTTGGGTGCTAAATGATTTAAGGTGCAGTGTGCGGATGTTCGAACCATTTGTCTACTGCAAGTCGCGTGGGCAAACTCTGGTCACTCACAGCGTGTTTGGTTTGCATCACCGAACCATTCCTTCCATGGCGTATGCTGCTGTTTGGTTTACGCTGTGGAATCACTTGTCCGTCACGGAGTTGTTCCACGTAGAGACTCCCGTGGGCTATTCCCAAGGAACAGACACATTCCTCAAAAAAAAGTCAGATGACTCCATGCCTCACCGACCCACAAGTGGTTGGGGATGGGTATCCAAACCAAACAGGCTGTTAGATTGTCTATTTATGCTTAAGGTTAAATCATACTGCAACGTGCAGGCATGTACAGACCAAAACTGCAGTACCATGGAACAAAAGTTCTTTCTGTCACACTGGCTTTACTACCTCTGGAGTCTGGAGCTAATGTAGTTCTAAGACTGTGAGTCACCTTATAACCGATAAAAAGCATGAGCTAATGTCTGAGACTGAGACAATTTGTAATCGAGGAAAGTGATTGCAACACGAACAACTCTAGACCGTACTATCGTTGATAACTTTGCTGTATATAGGTGTTCCACAAAAATCTGGACAGCATTTTGGCTTGAACTCTATATTTACTGTTATGTTTTTTTCATTGCATAGATGTACCTGGTGCACCTGACATGACTGGCTATTATCCACGTGATGAAGAAAGGGCAGGGTATCGTCCTGCTAGAGATACCGAGGCTCTTAACGCGTCCTACGAACGTTTTCTTCGTACTGGGGTATCAACTGTTGGATTGTTGCATAATCGTCTTTCAAACACAGTCTGCTAATACTTATGTTGAACTTCAGCAAATTCAATCCTTTGGTGGTGGACCTGCTGGAGAACCTATTAGGCCTGCTGTGGGTGGCAATGCTGGCTACCCAGTTGATGATCGTTCGATGATGGCTGCTAGGGGTATGGATAGCAGAAATATTGGTTTCGGTGGTGGAATGCCAGAGCCACCCCTTCCACCTGATGCCTCAAACACCTTATATATTGAAGGCATTCCAACTGGCTGTACACGTCGAGAAGTTTCACGTATCCTTAGATATATACATCTTTTCCGCCACTCTCTTTTTCTAAACATCTATTTGCATAACTGCGATCAAGCATAGCTAGTCCTTCACTTCCCCCAGACATCTTCCGACCATTTGTTGGCTTTCGTGAGGTTAGGCTTGTAAACAAAGAACCGAAACATGTAAGCGAACTACTTGTTTTTTGTAGCCTTTGTCTCTTTTTTTATTGTCATTCATTCTTCTGACTACTTCGCTATTCGCAGCCTGGTGGTGACCCTATTGTCCTGTGTTTTGTTGATTTCGCGGAACCTACACAATCTGCTATTGCCATGGAGGCTTTGCAAGGTGAAACTGATGAACTTGACATTCATAGATACTTTCTGAACTATGTGAAGTTGACATTAAGCCATTGATCAGATTTACTTACTAAAGTTTGGTTGCATTAAGTCATACTCCACCCTTTTTCTTCTATGTTAAAACTATGAATACAATGTTCAGGTATTGGTCTAATCAGAATCCATTTTCCATGAATGCCTCAAGTTTGTCATGCATAATTTCGAGCTGAAACCTACCTTCTCTGTCTTTTCCTAGAAAGCACGTAGTGAACCTTTAAAACCTTGAACACCACTGTACATATAAATATTTGTAGTTTTTACATGGAAATGATACTATTACATTCATCAACTCATTGTTTTTTCATGGGATTAAATTTGATTATTTTTTCTACTGTATGATGTGATAAACTATTGCTCAGAGGTGTGTATTGCCAATTGTCAATGTCTCAATGATTGTCCAAATGACAAGTAACATAGAATGGAGGGAATAGCTATTTCTTTCTTGATTTTTTGTTCTATCTATATTTTTTATCCCGAGTGCTACTTTTTTCCTTCAGGATCCACATCCACATAGGCATATGTTGGGGTGGTAGTTTGGTGCCTTAGGCCAAGAGCCTCTTATTGGGATACAGTAGTTTCAAGTAATTATCCTTTATTTTGCTATAGAAGTAATGGCCAACCAAAGCTATTCGAAAAGAAGATATGTAAATCTTGTCAGTGTAGTACTACTCTAAAGTTCAGGAAAAATTTCTGCCACATGATCACTCAATCGGTTATTGATGCTTTTGCCATCTGATAAGAGTCATGTTCATTTGATAAAGCTTATTGTGCTGACCAGGGGCTTCACATTTTTCTACAAGACTTTCTACAAGACAACAACAGAAATAATGGGGACACCCTTGGCGTCACTGACACTTCACTGGCACCGTTGCTAGTTATGTAGTTAGGGCAGTTCCAACCATGAAACTATGGGATAGTTTCCATACCTACCAATTAATATAGACACTACCCATAGAAACTGTACTCCCAATGGATAGTTTCTGCAAATAAAATTTTAATCCAATCATCTATCTTATCTCTCCTATCATCTACCTATCACAGTTCTTGCTATCTTGGTTCCCGTGTAGACATGGTTTCTTGTAGAGCAAGTATAATAAGGGGCTGTAAGCAGGCTGTAGGCTGACGTGGAGGAGAGAGGGAAGGAGAGAAAAGAGAAGTGGGCTATAAGCTTACAGCCAGCTTATGCGCAGGAACCAAGAAGTTCTATGAGACAAACAAGTGGGCTGTAAGCTGACTAACTATTATACGAGTGGGCTGATAGATTGGCTGTAAGTTTCCATACAGCCAGCAGTCATCTATATTATTAGCCTTGCTCGTATAAGAAACCATTTCTTTATCTCTCCTCCTTAACTCCAATGCCGCATCAGCGTTTTGCTTACTTAGCACCTTAATTAATGCCATGGAAACCATCCATTGGGACTGCCCATATCTGTCCTTTGTCTGACCACCAGGTTTTAGTATCTGGTATATTACCGTGAGGGTGGGGTGGGGGCAGTCCACTTTGTGTTGTTTGCTAAGAGAGGTGGATGATTGGAGCCACTTAGACCATGTAAAAGGGACCAATGCCCAGATTTCTCCTGGCATTTGTTTCCAACCTTTGTAGCAAGATTGGTAATGCGGAGTTTGCCGTGCCGTCTTTCCAAGAATATGTTGAATAGAGTGTTGTTCCTATCTGCCGTGGGCTGTTTGTTAATTCACTTTGCATCCATAATCTACTATAGGTGCAATATTGACATGATGCTAATCACAAGGCTCCATGGTTGATTTTGCAGGCTATAAGTTTGATGAGCACGATCGCAATTCACCCAATCTGCGGCTGCAGTTTGCTCGTTTCACGGGTCCAAGGGGGAATTCAGGACCTGGTGGCGGTCGTGGTAGGCGATAAGTTCTTGGCGTTCCTTTTTCCAGGTGATTCACGAATTTTCTCATTCAACATATTCTCTCAAAGAACTGAAGTCAGTTTTGGTGCAGCGATAACATTAATCAATCGCTTCTGTCACTGTTTTGTAGGCCTGTTCGCAGCGGAACACCCATGTGGGATGTTGTTAGTTTGATCATCGTTCCAGAGATATTACTCCATACTTCCATAGAAATAGGATTGGTAGCTTGGACCTTGTGCTTCCAGCGTTGCGACCCTGGTCTCGCTAGATGTATTCTTGGCAGAATGCACTAGCTGAACATGGTAGGTCCAAACATATGTACCATCCCGCAGGCGTAATGCCTAATATCGCTGAAGTTTGTTTGTAATGTGCTGATTTGTATCTTGAGGCAGGTTGGCCGTTTAATCTGTGGACTTGATGAATATTATTGACCTGGCTACTGTTACATTTGAGAGTTTATCGCCGAATTTGTTTGGTAATGTATGCATCTCGTGTGTATTTGTACGCCCATGCGTCTATTTTTCCACACGCACAGCAGTCTCAGAACTGCTGTATGTGCTAAGTTGCAAGCTGGTTCATATTTTGGGCTAGCACGCCACCCATTGTATGGCTTACCGTGATGTTCTGGAAAGCGTTAAGAGTAGTTTCAAGTGATGCTAGTGTTAGTGGTTTCTTGGAACGGAATTGCAAACCGTTTTGTAGCGGCTTCCATGGTCAGTCGAACCTGATGAAATGTTCTCACTGGCCTTTGTGGAGATTGGAGAAGTAACTTGCGTGATGCCTTACGAAAATCGACAAATGGTAGTTGCGCATTTCTTTGAGAACCTGCATGCTCGTCTTGGTCAGTTTAATCGATATCGGACTCATTCTTTAATTTGTGGCGGGCGTTTGGTTTTAAATAAGGCAACGTATCAGTTGCAAACCAACTAAACTGTGCAAACTTGAAAACTATCAATCATAACCACTAGATGCTGATCCAATAAATGGGGTGAGAGGTGGGATTTTTTTGCACTTAAGCTCCCCACCCACCGTACTTTTTTTTTTCGCTTAAGCCCTCTCACCTCATCCATTGGATCAACATCCAGTGGTCCTGATTAGTAGTTTCTAAGTTTGCACAGGTTGGTTAATTTGCACATGATATGCTTTTAAATAAAGGCCTAAGGGCCCGTTCGTTTAGGCAAGGATTGGTCCAGGAATCGTTCCAGCTGCTGTAGCTTATGTAAATATGGCAAACAATCCGACCAGGAACGGTTCCAGGGAGCGGTTTTGTGACAACCGAAAGGACCCTAAACCATTTAGCGGCAGGCCGGCAGCCCCTTGTCAGGGCCCGGATCAAGGCCCTGACTGTTTGTGGCACTGGAACCGGATTCAGAGAAGAGGAACGAAGGATACAGGGATATTCAGAGTTCTGTATTCATATCATCGATAACGATTCAGTTGCATTCGCCACCTTTTATACACGCCACACAGGCCACCGCCTAACAGCTGACTAACAGAAGCATAACGGCTTCTCAGCGACTAACTAATCCCAGCTGCAGAAAGTAACGGTTCGACAACAGCCTGACGGCTACAGTCCTTGCTGGCAACAGACACTGAATGGCCTGAATCTTCAGACATCACCCCATCTTCCGTGTCTTCTTCCTGTGCATGACATCATCTCCCCCTGAGCCCCTCGAAACCCAGCTTGTCCCCAAGCTGGTATGCCAGGAAACTTCAGACATCACCCCATCTTCCGTGTCTTCCTCCAGCGTGGCACGGCTCCGGCGAGCTCTCGACGAGCCTACTACTGTGCTCGTCAGCCTCAACCTCAACTGTGCCTCCACAGGCAGCGTCGTCGACGTGCACCTGCTGCTGCGATGAGAAGAAGAGGGACGACATCATCACCTACAGCTTCCCTTCCTTCCATCGAGCTGAGCTTAGCAGTCGCTTGGCGTTTCTCGAGAACGCGAGTGCCTCGCAGGGAGCCCTCCAACTCACTCCCGACAGCATCAACGACGACACCGAGGGCTTTCTTGTGAACCAGTCCGGTTCGACCCTCCTGCTGTCTCCGGTGAAGCTCTGGCACGTCGACTCCCATGGAGTGAAGCACGATGCGTCCTTCAACACCTCCTTCACGATGATCCTCTACAGAGTAAGGTCATGTTTAGTTCACTCCCAACTCTCAATTTTGGCACTATGCAAAAAGAAGATTTCCTGTCACATCAAACTTGCGGTACATGCATGGAGTACTAAATATTGACGAAATCAAAAACTAATTGCATAGTTTGATTGTACTTTGCGAGACGAACGTTTTGAGCCTAATTAGTCAACGATTGGACAATTATTACCAAATACAAACGAAATGCTATAGTGCGCTACAGTGTCGTTGAAAATCCGACGGCGCCAATTCTGGGCGCAACTAAACGCGGCCTAAATGAAACCTACCTTGTCAAAGGCGAGGGCCTCGCGTTCGTCATCGCCCCAACCCTCGACGGCCCGCCACCGGGGAGCTCGGGTGGCTTTCTTGGCCTCACCAACAGCACCGGGAGGGCCACCTCCGGCAGCAGTTTCGTTGCTGTCGAATTCAACACGCACTATACCACAGCCAATAATTAGCGTCGGATGATGATCGCTAAAACATAGTATTAACAACCAATAATTAGTTGCTACAAATTTCCACCGGAGTATCGGTCGCTATTTTTACTTGTAGCGACCGATAATTGGCTGGTGTATGTATTCCGTAGTTTACTCAGACAATCGGTCGCTAAAAATGCATATTAAGGTCCAATAATTGGTCGCTATATATAGCCTGGTTTCACTCTAGTGCTCTCGGCCCAGCCCACTTGCACATAGTGAAATTTGTGTGGCCCACCTGTCATAGTGTCGTCCAACTCACAGCGTGCCACCATCCCTCTCAATCTCACAGCGTGCCGCTCACGAACTCAGCTCGCGGGGGGCCATCCCTGCCGCGGCCGTCATGCTCGCCGTAGCAGTCACCGTCCCCACCGTCGCGGCCGCCGTCCCCGTTGCTGCGGCCGTCGTCCGGTCCGCCGTGCTCGCCCAAGCCTCCGCAGCCGTCGTGCCCACCCCGTCGTCGTAGCCGCCACCCTCTCTCCCGAGCGTACACGAGCAGGTACTCGTTCTCTTTCCCTTCCATCC